TTTCAGTCAATGACAGTGGCCCTAAATCATCACCTTCCAGGGCAGGGATCAGACTGGAGCACGACCCTGAGGGGTTTCTGCATGTCTTCATACAAGGAGCTCCACATGGCTGGTAGTGCCACTCACACTCTCCAGGTGGGTTGTAGAAATCACAAAATAGAGCTGGGAAAGGAAGGGTGACCCAACATTCGTAAGTCTTCAGATCCACTTGCTTATGGGCGTTATGTCATGTTATGATACTGGAGTATCATAAAGACTTTTGATTTCAGTGGTAACTTACGGCAGATTTGTGGACTCCTCCACGCTACGCAGACACCAGCCTCATTGCAAACCGCTGCATATGCAGCCACAGCAGTGCAGAAACACTCACAATCTCCTCCCGTATCACAAGCGCACGAGTCTCTTACACAGGCATCGTAGTATGGAGTAGGATCCACCTTATGAGATAAATGAGTATTAATTTACTAAAAAAAAAACATGTCCACATTAACCAGTGATGTTCTGCATATATGTTTTTAAATAAAGCTAAGTCTTACAATGAAATACTTCAGCATGTAAACTAGATTGAAAATGACAACCTGGATTCTATATCCTTATGTACAGAACTTGATCGTCTCTTACCTGAGAGTGACAGGCTGTGAATACTGTGCTTTTGAGGAGGCTGCACTGTTTCTGGGCCCAAGACTGCCTGTATGGATTGGATGTGCAGGGATCTTTGGTAAAATCTGAATCTGGACAACTTGGAGAAGCTTTCCAGCTGTTTCCAAACTCCAGAGGATCAACAACCACTGCGTTGCTTCTGGTGGTGAAGTCATTGTTTTCGTTACCATCATAATTACCGCATACACCACAGACCTGGCCCTGGGAAACAGACATTCACTTACGTAAATTAACTGACCAAACTAGTCCTAATAAACATTCAGCAATGTGGAATATTTCAATTTCAATTAAATACTGTTGAGAGGGACATTTTCACATTTTTCGACAAACCTTAAATGTAGGGCTAAGTTTGATGAACATGCTTGTCTTCTTGTCCCACATAAGAATCAGGCCATTACTGGCTTCAATAACCAGATAAATTCCCATCACACTGATCTGATAGGGCACCTCTTCGCCTGTATCTCTTTGGATAACTTCATAGCTTCCGTCTGTCAGTATGAGCTCATTATTCTGTAAGAATCATGTGTTTAGTGATCATAACAATGCAAAATCATTACATTTTTTCGAACTGACATCCATCATCCTCACCCCAAGGAAGAGCTTGATAGCTTTAGAGCAGGTGGTACCGGTGGTGCCACATGGGATATTCTCAGTGATGACCCGGAAGGTGCCATTTACGTTGTTGCTGCAGTAGTCCTGCAAAAGTATGATATTTGTCTAATTGAAATTCTGGTTTCAAATATGTCAATATTCAAAACTAAAATGAGAAACAACATGTTTAAAATATAGCGTAATAAGTATGACAAAATAACAGAAATCATGTTCATCCAGGTTCAATTCAAGAGATTCAACATTCAAGAGATTTATTCGTCACATACAGTGCAACGTGCAGTGAAATGTATCTCTGAGTCGCCCTATTTGGCTGTGCAGAAATAGAAGAAAAAAAGTAGGAGTAAAAAAGAAAATCACAATATATAAATACAATCTATCAAATCAAGTATATAATCTAAATATACAATCCAAATATACAATCTAAAACAGGGCTATTCAAGTCACGGTCCTCTAGGGCCGAGCCCTGCTGATTTTCCAGCATTCCTTCACCTGTGAGCCAGGGGTGAAGCCTCTGACCAATCAGAATCAGTCATTATTAAACTAACTACCTGGGAGAACTGAAAACAAGGCCTGGATTTGGAATCGAGAGCCTGAATTGAATAGCCATGATCTAAAATATAGTGCAATGGCGAGGTGATGTACAGACTAAAGTTATTTGTGCAGTGAAATGAACATGTGCAGTATATGTGAATTCCAGTACAAACATACATTGTGTACAGAAGGACCAGAATTAGTTTGAATTGAGAAGCTTTATGGCCTAGGGGAAAAAACTCTTCCTGAGTCTCTCTGTCCTGGACATTAGGCAATGGAACCGTCTGCCTGAGTTCAGCCTGCGGAACAGACAGTTTGCGGGGTGTAAGGAATCCATAATTATCTTAGTACCTCTGGACCTGCAGAGTTCTTTTGTAGGCAGTGGAGATCTGACACAACGCTCGGCCGCCCTGATCACCCTCTGCAGGGCTTTGAGATCCTTTAGAGAACAGCTCCCAAACCATACCATAATGTTCATGGTCAAGATGCTCTCCACAGCAGCTGAGTAGAAGGTTTTTAGGATCACCGGAGTGACCCTAAATCTCCTCAGCTGCTTCAGGTGGTACAGCCGCTTCCTCGCCCAGGTGACCAGAGTGATGACATGTGAGTGCCAAGTGAGGTCCTCAGTGAGCAGAACCCTAAGGTACTTGATGTTGTCAACCCTCTCCACTGGAACACTGTTGATCTGGAGCGGTGAGAAGGAGCGCTGCTTCTTCTTGCTGTAGTCCACTATCAGCTCTTTAGTTTTGCTGACATTCAGACTGAGGTAGTTGGACCTAAATCATACCGACAGATTCTCCACCTCCCTCAAGTAGCCTGACTCATCGTTGCTGGTGATGAGTCCAATTACCACTGTGTCGTCCGCGAACTTCACAACGGTGTTGGAGCTGTTGGAGGCGACACAGTCGTAGGTGTAGAACGTGTAGAGCAGGGGCTCAGAACACACCCTTGAGAAGCTCCAGTGCTGAGGGTGATGGTGTTGGAAACGCGGGATCCCACTCTCACTGTTTGTGGTCTACCAGTGAGGAAATCTAACACCCACCTGCACAGCTGGGATTTCAGACCCAGGTCCCTCAGTTTGGTGAACAGTCTAAATGTGGACGATGGTGTTAAAGGCTGAGCTATAATCCACAAACAGCAGCCTTACATAATTCCCACTACTACTATCCACATGTGTGAAAGTGGTGTGCAGTACGTGAGCGATGGCGTCCTCAGTGGATCTGTTTGGGCGGTAGGCGAACTGTAATGAGTCTATGGAATTTGGGATGGATGAACAGATGAAGGTTTTTACAAGCCTTTCAAACACTTTCATGACCAGAGATGTTAGGACCAGTGGGCGGTAGTCATTCAGGCCGGAGGGCTTGTTGTGCTTTGGGACGGGAACTATGGTGAGCCGTTTAAAGCACGTTGGCACAACAGACTGAGCTAGGGAATCATTGAAGATATTGGTGAAAACACCAGTCAGCTGATCAGCGCAGCATCGCAGAACACGTCCTGAAATCCCATCTGGTCCCACTGCTTTTCTGATGCTCACCTGCTTTGGGGCCCGGCGCACATCGCGCTCTGCCAGGCTAACCAGAGCCGTGCCCCTGTCCACACTCACCAGGATCAGACTGTTGTTATCTCCGTAGTGAGAGCTGTTTATCTCAAACCGTGTGAAGAAAGCGTTCAACTCATTGGCAAACCCAGCGTCAGTATTCAGAGGAACGGCATGTTTATTCTTATAGTCCGTGATTGTATTTAGTCCATGCAACAGTAGGCAGGAGTCATGAAGGTGGAAAGCAGTACGTTTCCGGTACTGCTGCTTGGCCACTTTCACCACCCGGCGGACTCTGCAGGACTCCGTCTTGTACCGACTCATGTCCCCGGTTCTCAGTCCTTCGTTGTAAGTGGAGGTGCGGGCATTCACAGTCTCCCGGACAGATCTGTCGACCCACGGCTTCTGGTTCAGGAAGATTCGAATGGTAACGATTGGGACGATCTGATCAACCAGTGTGCTAACAAAGCTCACGGCTACATCCGTAAACTCACTGACATCGGCTGAGCTGTGTCAGAGCACCTCCCAGTCAACGACATCTAGTGCGTCTCGTAGTGTGTGGCCTCTGACTGGTCAGACCAGCGCCTCACCATCTTCATCACCGGAACTTCCCGTGCAAGGTTTTGTTTATATTCCGGGATCAGAAAAATGGCGTTGTGGTCACTTTTCCTGAAGCCCGGCTGTGAAACTGACTTGTATCCTTGTTTGAACTGTGTGTGCTGTTTCCCCTTGTAGAGCAGGTGACGTGTTGGTAGAAATTAGGCATGACATGCTTAAGCTTCGCCTTATTGAAGTCTCCCGCTACAATAACAACAACGTCAGGGAGCTTGGTCTGGCAGTCACTGATCACATCATGGAGTTTAGTTAAAGCAATACTAGTGTCTGCTTGAGGTGGGATGTAGACAGCAGTAGCAATGACTGATGATAGCTCACGGGGCAGGTAGCATGGCTGGCACATGATGGTCAGATGTTCCAGATGAGGAGAACAGGAACTGGAGAGAGTGGTTATGTATGATTTCTTATTCTAAAAAGGGTCTCGCTATCATATGTTACTATAGCGGAGGCTGAATGAGAAAAAGACTAGAAAAAGATAAATAGCAAGAAAAAAACAGCCTAGTCAGAGCGCACAGAAAGGCGTCTGGCAGCGCCCACGCCATCTTGGTTCTTTTAATTATATCCTCTGAGACCTACCTGAGTTAGTATGTATTCACAGTCTCCATCGAAGGTGAACCTTTTCCCATCAAAAGTCACATAATGGCCGTCCCCGTA